CCCATGCTCCAAGTTGGGGCCGTTGAAAAAACCCATGCTCCAAGTTGGGGCCGTTGAAAAAACCCATGCTCCAAGTTGGGGCCGTTGAAAAAACCCAAGCTCCAAGTTGGGGCCGTTGAAAAAACCCAAGCTCCAAGTTGGGGCCGTTGAAAAAACCCATGCTCCAAGTTGGGGCCGTTGAAAAAACCCATGCTCCAAGTTGGGGCCGTTGAAAAAACCCATGCTCCAAGTTGGGGCCGTTGAAAAAACCCATGCTCCAAGTTGGGGCCGTTGAAAAAACCCATGCTCCAAGTTGGGGCCGTTGAAAAAACCCATGCTCCAAGTTGGGGCCGTTGAAAAAACCCATGCTCCAAGTTGGGGCCGTTGAAAAAACCCATGCTCCAAGTTGGGGCCGTTGAAAAAACCCATGCTCCAAGTTGGGGCCGTTGAAAAAACCCAAGCTCCAAGTTGGGGCCGTTGAAGAAACCCATGCTCCAAGTTGGGGCCGTTGAAAAAACCCATGCTCCAAGTTGGGGCCGTTGAAAAAACCCAAGCTCCAAGTTGGGGCCGTTGAAGAAACCCATGCTCCAAGTTGGGGCCGTTGAAAAAACCCATGCTCCAAGTTGGGGCCGTTGAAAAAACCCAAGCTCCAAGTTGGGGCCGTCGGAAAAACCCAAGCTCCAAGTTGGGGCCGTCGGAAAAACCCAAGCTCCAAGTTGGGGCCGTCGGAAAAACCCAAGCTCCAAGTTGGGGCCGTCGGAAAAAGCAAAACGTCCCCCAGTCTTTTTTCTTACCCCGGCGAACAAGTCGAAGCATTTTTCCCACGGCCACAACTTGGTATGTATAAGTCTTTATACATACATGGTAGGTCTTATCGCTAATACATAATTGTTTGAGCAATGGAGATATTACAGAGTCACAGGGGAGCTGCTGTTTATTATTAGTCTTCATAATACACCAGTTTCTTAATCTCCTATGTCGTTTATCTACTGGGAGCGAAATATGGATACAGTGCAAGGATTTCAGGTATTTTATCCTTAGTAATAAGATAGTTTGACATATCATACAACGTGAGCTTAGATTTATCTCTAAATGGCTCAATTTTACTACAATCCAAGATATAGTGTTAGAGTGTGTCCCTGTCTTTGTCCACACACTTTACACTTTACTTCATCTAGATCCCTATACAAGCCGAACTGCCAGAGATACTTGTAGCCAAGGCTTATACGAGCTGTGACAACGTCTGTTAGTCTACTGACTTTGTTACTTGCCCCATACACATGTTTTACTTCACACATTTCATTGTGATAAATAATGGACCTGCTAGTTCCAGTTTGCACTGTTCTACTTTCTTCAAATCATCCAGGAGTTCTCGTCTAATGACACTTAAGGGACCTATTTGATAACTCAAGATTCCGTTCAATACTGTCTATATTTACTGCAGCCTTAGCAAGGGCGTCAACTTTGTCATGTTCCTGCAGGCCAATGTGAGAAGGAATCCACAACATTTGTATATTTACCCTCTTGCTAAGTATACTTATATATCTATGTCAGGCTTCGGAGACAGGAGAGAAGCAGCGTCCCGGGTAACCCCCAGACACGTGCCTTAACCCGTGAACCACGACATGCTAAAGGCTATATAACCGGAGACACGGCCGGATACACGGCCGGATACACGGAGAATCTCCTCACTCTCTCTTCACCTTCCTCCTCCCCCCTTCTTCCTCCCCCCCCCCTTCTCCCTCTCCTTCTCTCCCCCTCCTCCTTTTCTCTCTGGTCTCTCCTCGTGCGTCAGATGGCGTGCATGTTAGCACACTACAATATTGTATCTCTCATCATCTCCCTCACAAACAGCTTGTCTTTCAGCCACAATATTACTCTCTCACTAAAGCCTTTTCATGCATTTTCATCAAACAAAACATTGTGCGGTTCCCATTTAGTGTGTGTGTGGCGTCTCTGTGGCGGAGTAGCCGCCGCCGCCGCCGCCGCCGCCCCGACGCTCTTCTCAGCCCCACTTATCTTGATCAGGTAGGATGGCTTCTGCTTGATCAGGTAGGATGGTTTCTGCTTGATCAGGTAGGATGGCTTCTGCTTGATCAGGTAGGATGGTTTCACCTTGATCAGGCAGGATACTTCAGCTTTTCAAATTACTGATTTTTACTCTTCTGGTAGAAAGTGCAAAGTCTCTCTCTCCTGGATAGATGGTATAGATAAGTCTATCTAAACCATCTCTCTCTCTCCTCTCTAGGATAGAGTTGTACAACCAACCCGGCTTCATAATAGAACGTCGCATTTTGACGTACACTTTACCTAAGGCTAAAAATCGTCGTACTAGAAAATAGTAGCGGCTCGCGAAATTGGCCTACTGCCCCGTTTTCTGTTTTGGGTCCTGAGAGGTCCCTCTAGTAGGTTAGGATAAGGACCCTTCAGTACGATAGTTTCTTGACGTTGGGAGACCTTAGGAGAACCAGCTGAGGCAATAAACCATATCTTCTCTCTGTATTTATTACGGTGACAAAAAAGTGTCTCTCACGTCTAATGTCTCAACTATTTGTTTCACTGCGGATCAAAATAAGTAATTATCAAAGGAAGGCACCAAGCCGGGAAGGCTATGTAGCACCATCAAATGTGTGGAATAATCAGAGGGCGCTAAATATCACCAAGGATGCCAATACGAGAACAGAAACGCACAAGGCGAACGATATCAAAAGTATCCGATTCACCAAGAATTCTATCGAGGGACAAGTGACCGCGAGGGGCGGTCGGAAAGCAAGACACACGCTCGTCCTGGTAGTCTGGACATTCAACAAGGATATGCACGACCGTAAGAGGGACAATGCAATTTGGACAATAAGGAGCAGGGCGGCGCTCCATTAAGTGACTGAGTTAAGTGTGTATGTCCAATACACAACCTCGCCAGAGTCGATTCCCACCGCCGGTTACGGTGGTAGGAGGACGGCCACGAGGACACACTACTCTTAAGAGTACGCAGTTTGTTACCAGTAACAAAAGACCAACAATCCTGCCAACGGGCAAGGATGGAGGAATGAATAACTGGGTAAAAGTCGGAATAAGGATAGAGCTCTTGTCCCATCTCCCTTACGGGAGATGGGACAAGAGCGGACAGCTTCCTTAGCGGCAGCATCCACACGCTCATTTAAAGACACACCAATATGGCTGGGAACCCAACAAAACTCAACCGACTTAAATTTACTGGAAATAAGAAACAGCCAATGTTGAATCTCGACAACCACTGGATGAACCGGATTAAAGGACCCGAGAGCCATGAGGGCACTACGACAGTCAACGATAACCACAAAGGAAGATTGACAACGAGAGAGCAGGAGACGAAGAGCATAGAGAATAACAAAGTTCTACTGTGAAGATGCTAGTCTCCGGAGGTAGGCGACACATATAAGTGTGGTCAGGAACAACAACAGAGTAGCCAACACCGTCCGCAGACTTAGACCCATCGGTGAAGACGGAAACGGAGCGGGAGTGAGAAGAAAAGTGCTCAGGGAAAAGCCGTTTAAGAACCGTAGGAGGGGTAAAAGCTTTAGTGATGCGGGTTAAGGATGCACAAAACTTCGGAAGGGGGAACCCTCCATGGGGGGACAAGGAAGGAACAACACTAGGAGAAATATTAGAAATACGAACTGAAAAAGAAAAGAGAGAAGTGAGAGGCAGGGGCTCGGGGGAGTGAGAGGCAGGGGCTCGGGGGAGTGAGAGGCAGGGGCTCGGGGGAGTGAGAGGCAGGGGCTCGGGGGAGTGAGAGGCAGGGGCTCGGGGGAGTGAGAGGCAGGGGCTCGGGGGAGTGAGAGGCAGGGGCTCGGGGGAGTGAGAGGCAGGGGCTCGGGGGAGTGAGAGGCAGGGGCTCGGGGGAGTGAGAGGCAGGGGCTCGGGGGAGTGAGAGGCAGGGGCTCGGGGGAGTGAGAGGCAGGGGCTCGGGGGAGTGAGAGGCAGGGGCTCGTTGCCTCACTCTCACCTGCTAAGAAATACTTACGCCATAATGGCAGAGTTTCCAGGAGAACAAACACAGTGTAAGGAACACAAGGGTGAGTAACTCGACTGTTGGTGCACGCCTTCCCAGTTACCTCCAAGAAAATGGTATTGTAATGGGGACAAATGACACACAAGTGAATCATTTTTCACTACAAACACCTGCAATTTTATCTTGCTATTCTCACATATTACCTTGTGAGAATCATGTGATATGATATTTCTTTTACATATATGACTGTACTATACATATGTGCACTAGCAGGGGTGGCCAGGGTTGGCAGGGAGCGTTACTAGACTCGACCAGTCTCCGTGGTGTAGTGGTAAGACACTCGTCTGGCGTTCCGCGAGCGCTTTGTCCTGGGTTCGTATCCTGGCCGGGGAGGATTTACTGGGCGTCAATCCTTAACTGTAGCCTCTGTTTACCCAACAGTAAAATGGGTACCTGGTTGTTAAACGATTTTGCGGGGTCGTATTCCAGGGACCATAGGAATAAGGACTTGCCCGAAACGCTACGGCTCCTAGTGGTTATCTTGAGAGGTTATCTTGAGAAGATTTCGGGACTTAGTGTCCCCGTGGCCCGGTCCTCGACCAGGCCTCCTCCTCCAGGAAGCAGCCCGTAGCAGCTGTCTAACTCCCAGGTACCTATTTACTGCTAGGTAGCAGTGGCATCAGGGTGAAAAACATTTTGCCCATTTGTCTCCGCCTCCACCGGGGATCGAACCCGGAACCTCAGGACTATGAATCCGAAGCGCTGTCCACCTAGCTGTCACGCTCCACCCAGCTGTGGCTGTACAAGATTGTAACAACTCTTGTATATGTAAATAACCAAATAAGCTCCGGATACGATAAATGCGAGCGCTTTCTTGTGTCCATGGGAGAAGATCTTCCCATCTTGTGAGGAGACCATCTCATGTAGTGAAGAGTATATTACTAGTGCGTAGTGAAGGTCGGGTGGAGGTGCTGAGCTCCTGGTGCCTGCGGCTGAGTGAGGCCTGCCCCTCTCGGCCCCATCACTCAAATTATAACAAGGTACAAGGTAACTTTTCCGACGCCCAAAATCGTTGTCGAATCTGGCACTGAAGTTGTTGATGAAGCTGTGGATGGTTTAAACAACGTCTGTCAGTGTGTTTGTTGAACACCCGTGCAGGGTCCGTGTTGGTCTTGTTGAACACCCGTGTAGGGTTCGTGTTGGTCTTGTTGAACACCCGTGCAGGGTCCGTGTTGGTCTTGTTGAACACCCGTGTAGGGTTCGTGTTGGTCTTGTTGAACACCCGTGCAGGGTCCGTGTTGGTCTTGTTGAACACCCGTGCAGGGTCCGTGTTGGTCTTGTTGAACACCCGTGCAGGGTCCGTGTTGGTCTTGTTGAACACCCGTGCAGGGTCCGTGTTGGTCTTGTTGAACACCCGTGCAGGGTCCGTGTTGGTCTTGTTGAACACCCGTGCAGGGTCCGTGTTGGTCTTGTTGAACACCCGTGCAGGGTCCGTGTTGGTCTTGTTGAACACCCGTGTAGGGTCCGTGTTGGTCTTGTTGAACACCCGTGCAGGGTCCGTGTTGGTCTCGTTGAACACCCGTGCAGGGTACGTGTAGATCTTGTTGAACATCCGTGCACGGTACGTGTAGGTCTTGTTGAACACCCGTGTAGGGTCCGTGTTGGTCTTGTTGAACACCCGTGCACGGTACGTGTAGGTCTTGTTGAACACCCGTGCACGGTACGTGTAGGTCTTGTTGAACACCCGTGCACGGTACGTGTAGGTCTTGTTGAACACCCGTGCAGGGTCCGTGTTGGTCTTGTTGAACACCCGTGCAGGGTACGTGTAGGTCTTGTTGAACACCCGTGCAGGGTCCGTGTTGGTCTTGTTGGACACCCGTGCAGGGTCCGTGTTGGTCTTGTTGAACACCCGTGCAGGGTCCGTGTTGGTCTTGTTGAACACCCGTGCAGGGTACGTGTTGGTCTTGTTGAACACCCGTGCAGGGTACGTGTTGGTCTTGTTGAACACCCGTGAAGGGTACGTGTTGGCTTTGTTGAACACCCGTGCAGGGTCCGTGTTGGCTTTGTTGAACACCCGTGCACGGTACGTATTGGTCTTGTTGAACACCCGTGCAGGGTACGTGTAGTTCCTTTTCATGTATTCGCCTCAATCCTTTGCTGTTCCAAATACCCCCCGTGTCCTGTTGTCCTTCTGTTTCTCAGTTTAAAGATGATATCCTTGTCCACCTTCTCTCCCTTCTGAGTATTCCTAATCTGTGCCATTTTCTCCTGTTTCTTCTCTCCTCTACGGTTATAACATCTAGTGCCTTTAACCTCTTCGTAGCTTGAACCTTTTTGTTCTGGAACTACTCATCTTTTTTTTTTTTCATGCTATGTAACTTATTTTAATAAATTTTGCAAGTATTTACCTACTTACAAGTTTCTTAGATTAAGGACCTGCCCGAAACGCTGCGCGTACTAGTGGCTTTACAAGAATATAATTACTATGCTATGTATCCTCACAATCCCAATCCCAATTCCCCAATTCTTATATGTACATCCCAATTGAGATGAGATGATATCCCAAGAATCCCAATTCTTGTATATATATAAATATATATAAATAAATAAATAAAACTCTTGTTGTGAGATAAGGTAACGTTAGGATAAAGCGTTAAGCCAGTGGGATTGTGTAGCACTTGCAAGGAGTACGAACAAGAAATTGAAATATGGGGACGTAGTGAAGAACGGAGTCCCACCATTTAGTTCATCGGTGATCGAACGCCGACCTGCAAGAAGCGATGCCACCACCGTTCCCACCAGTCCAACTGTATGGACAATCTTGTTGCCATCCTTAACACATTTGTAACTTTGGTTTTGTGCTTCGCAATGCGCAGTTTCCAGGCTGGTGCTGCATAGTGCAGTGTCGGTTTAACTTAGAGGAAGTTGATGCCCTTGCAAGAGTTCCTGTTGCAGGCGATGAGTCACAATAACGTGGCTGAAGTATGTTGACCAGACCACACACTAGAAGGTGAAGGGACGACGACGTTTCGGTCCGTCCTGGACCATTCACAATCGACTTGAGAATGGTCCAGGACGGACCGAAACGTCGTCGTCCCTTCAACTTCTAGTGTGTGGTCTGGTCAACAAGAGTTCCTGTTAACATTTTGATAGTTTACATTGTAATGTTTGCCACCTTCTCATATGCTGCTGCAGTTACCCCTGTTACGTGCGACTCCCGTGTTCTTTATCTCTTTATTCTTAGCAGTTATCTTCCCGCTTGTGGTGAAGATATCTCCTGATCCATTCTCTCCCCCTTTCCCATCTTCATTACCTTACTCTTATTGGGGTTGAATTCTTGCAACCATTGGTTTTCTCACTCGTAGCCCGTGTTCCTAAGGTTTCCCAACGTTAAGAAACTGTCGTACTAAAGTGCCCTTATCCTGACCTGCCAGAGGACCCACAACAGAAAACAGGACAGTAGGCCAATTTCGCGAGCCGCTATCGTTTTCTAGTACGACGATTTTTGGCCTTAGGTAAAGTATACGTCAAAATGCGACGTTGTGCAGGCGACGAGTCACAATAACGTGGCTGAAGAATGTTGACCAGACCACACACTAGAAGGTGAAGGGACGACGACGTTTCGGTCCATCCTGGACCATTCTCAACTCGATGCGACGTTCTATTAGGAGGCCGGATTGCTTAAAGTGTCAAGGTCCTCTTGTAATTTTTCTTCCTCTGTTTTTACATTGCTCTTTAGCTTAGCATCGTCAGCAAATATTGTCATTTACGAGTTCACTCGATCCCTCGGGTAGATCATTCTCATATATTGGGAGTAACAATAGTCCCAAGATGGAGCCGTGTGGGACCCGACGTGTCACATCCATCCAGCTCAATGTCTCTCTGACTATGACTCTTTGTTTTATGCCCTTCAGGTACTCCCTTACTCAGTTTAGCTTCTTCCCGGTTAAACCAGTTTCTCCATCGTGATCGCCCGCCTTATATGACGGACAATGTAAAATGTTTTCGACAAGGAAAGTTTCTTTCACCCTGAATGCCCCTGTTACCTAGCAGTAAATAGGTACCTGGGAGTTAGTCAGCTGTCACGGGATGCTTCCTGGGGGTGGAGGCCTGGTCGAGGACCGGGCCGCTGGGACACTAAAGCCCCGAAATCATCTCAAGATAACCTCAAGATGAAGGAAGATAGTCTCCACAGCCTTCGTTTTCAGGCGGTGGGTTGGAAATCTTGCCATAGAATTCAGTCGAGTTTGTTAGGCATGACTTTACCCTCTGTGTATCCACCATTTCTTTTCGAAACAAAGTTCATCATCAAGTGCTTCTTTATTCTCAAGCAGGTTATTTTCTCCACCACTTCATACAGAATACGTGTCAGTGACATTGGTCTAAAGTGCCTCCTGTCGGTCCCCTCGTATGAATACTGGGACAACATTTGCCTTCTTCCAGAGTTGTAGGAGATCTCCTGTTTCACATGTTTTACATATAATATTAATTACCAGATTACACAGTAGGTTTGCAACCCACTTTAGCGGCCATCTTGAGGTTATCTTGAGATGATTTCGGGGTTTAATGTCCCCGCGGCCCGGTCCTCGACCTGGCCTCCACCACCAGGAAGCAGCCCGTGACACCTGACTAACACCCAGGTACCTATTTTACTGCTAGGTAACAGGGGGCATAGGGTGAAAGAAACTCTGCCCATTGTTTCTCGCCGGCTCCCTGGATCGAACCCGGGACCATAGGATCACAAGTCTAGCGTGCTGTCCGCTCGTCCGACCCGGCTCCCTGCCATGACGATATTAATTCTGGCCCAATTGGCTTTGTCGCTTCTAGATCTAATAAACAGTGACTACTGTGTTAGTGTTGCTTGTGGGTGGTGGTGGTGGTGTTGGTGAAGGTGGTACTTACCTATCAGTGACTACGGGGGAGTGAGGTCAAGCTCTATATACCCCGCCTCAAGCTTTGTTGTACGTGTTCCGTTACAACTTAACTATTCTGACGTTCAAATTCTTTGTAGAAGTTGTGGATGGAGGTGGTTTCCACAACTACTTCTTTCACAACATTCCACTTGTTGACTACCTGTACAATGTAAGAGTATTTTCTTACATTCCTTCGGCTCATTTGCATTTCCAACTTCGTCCTGTGTCCTGTTGTCTCTTGATTTGAAGAGGCTAGCCTTGTCCACTGTATTCCCATCAGTATCTTGCATGTTGTGATCCTATCTCCTCTGTTCCTCCTCTCTTCTAGAATTGTGAGATGTAGTTGCATTAGCTTATCCTCGTAGCTTAATCCTCTTACGTCTGATACAAATATTGTTGTAAACCTTTGTGCTTTTTCCAGTTTTAGTTTTATGCTTCACAAGGTGGGGGTTCCATGCCGGTGCTGCATATTCCAGTATTGGTCTAACAAGTGTTGTGTAGATTGCCGTGAAGGAGTCCTGATTTTGCTTTCTAAACAATCCACAAAGAACTCGCATTAACATGATGTATCATTGAGGAAATACAGTAGAAGCCATGGTGAGGATTCGAACCTGCACACCAGGTTCTTATACTTGCCAGCGTCCCATATGCTGCTGATGTTACCCGGTTTATGTCCGTCTCCAGTGTTAGTGTTGGAATTATATCCACTCCCACATTTTCTTCTCCGATTACTGTAGTTGCCTTTCCCATACGGTGTAGATGCCTCCTGGTCGCCTTTCTCCGTTCCCTGTCATCATTACCTTACACTTGATGGGGTTGAGTTTCAAGAACCATGTGTCTGACCACTCCTGGTCTTTGTCAAGATCCTCGTGTAACTTCCTGCAGTCCTCGTCTGTCTCTACATCCACCAACTTTGCATCATCTACAAACATTGACATGTACGAGCTCACTCCCTCGGGCAGGTTGTTAACACTAATTAGCAACAACAGCGGTCCCAGGAGAGCGCCTTATGGGACCCCACTTGTTACAATCCTCCAGCTTGAAACCTCCTCTGTGCCTCTTTGGTTCCTGTTCTTCAGGCGATCTCTTACCTAGTCCAGCGTTGTCCCAGTTATCCCAGCCTGGGTCTCCCTTTCGTGTGGTGGTGGTGGTGCAGGGGGTGGTGCAGGGGGTGGTGCAGGGGGTGGTGCAGGGGTGGTGCACGGGGTGGTGCACGGGGTGGTGCAGGGGGTGGTGCACGGGGTGGTGCAGGGGGTGGTGCAGGGGGTGGTGCAGGGGTGGTGCACGGGTGGTGCACGGGGTGGTGCACGGGGTGGTGCAGGGGGTGGTGCAGGGGGTGGTGCAGGGGGTGGTGCAGGGGGTGGTGCAGGGGGTGGTGCAGGGGGTGGTGCAGGGGGTGGTGCAGGGGTGGTGCAGGGGGTGGTGCAGGGGGTGGTGCACGGGGTGGTGCAGGGGGTGGTGCACGGGGTGGTGCAGGGGGTGGTGCACGGGGTGGTGCAGGGGGTGGTGCAGGGGGTGGTGCAGGGGGTGGTGTTGCTTGTAAGAGTGGAGGGAGTGTTAGTGAAGATGGTGTTGGTGGAAGTTCTTGTGGAGGAGGGGCGTGGGGAGGGAGGGGGGGGGTAGTTTGAGGTGGTGGTGGTGTAAGTGCTTGTGAAGATGGATGATGGAGGGGGGGAGGGTGTGATGGTGTAGATTAGGTTAGGTGGATGATTGGAGGTGGTAGTGATGGTGGTGGAGGATGGGGTGGGGGTGGAGGTGGGGGTGGTAGGGATGCTGGTGGAGGTGGTTTAGGTGGTGGGGGTGCTGGTGGTTTAGGTGGTGGGGTAGGGGTGGTGGTGGGGGTGGTGGTGGGGGTAGGGGTGGGGGTTTGGGTGGTGGTGGGGGTGGTGGTGGAGGTAGGGGTGGTGGTGGGGGTAGGGGTGGTGGTGGGGGTAGGGGTGGTGGTGGGGGTGGTGGTGGGGGTAGGGGTGGGGGTTTGGGTGGTGGTGGGGGTGGTGGTGGGGGTAGGGGTGGTGGTGGGGTGGATGATTGGAGGTGGTGCTGGTGGAGGTCAACCATCATGAGGTAACTGGCCTGAAAAAAATTCTTAAAAACGTGATGACATTTAATCGAAGCAGATGATATAGTTGTGTGGTAATGCTCTCCCTCGCTTTCGCTCTCCCTCTCTCCCACGCTCTCCCTCTCCCTCTCTCCCACGCTCTCCCTCTCCCTCTCTCCCACGCTC